TCCCTCTCCATCTCTTTTTCTATTCTTCCGTCTTCCCCCACTCCTCCCCCCTCTCCATCTCTTCCGTCTTTTCCCTCCTTTATTATTGTTTCTCCCCTCTCCATCTCTTTTTCTATTCTTCCGTCTTCCCCCACTTCCTCCTTTATTATTGTTTCTCCCCTCTCCATCTTTTTTCTATTCTTCCGTCTTCCCCACTTCCCTCCTTTATATTGTTTCTTCCCCTCTCCATCTCTTTTTCTATTCTTCCGTCTTCCCCCACTTCCCTCCTTTATTATTGTTTCTCCCCTCTCCATCTCTTTTTCTATTCTTCCGTCTTCCCCCACTTCCCTCCTTTATTATTGTTTCTCCCTCTCCATCTCTTTTTCTTATTCTTCCGTCTTCCCCCACTTCCCTCCTTTATTATTGTTTCTCCCCTCTCCATCTCTTTTTCTATTCTTCCGTCTTCCCCCACTTCCCTCCTTTATTATTGTTTCTCCCCTCTCCATCTCTTTTTCTATTTTTCCGTCTTCCCCCACTTCCCTCCTTTATTATTGCTTCCCACCTCCCCATCTCCTTTTCTGTTCCTCGTTTTCCCCAACTTCCCTCCTTTGTTATTATTTCCTTTTTTCTTTTTTTAAATTCTTTTTGATGAAGTGGATTATGATTATCATTGGGGCGGGGGTTGTGGGAGGGGGGGGGGGAAGGAGGGAGAGTGAAGAGGAAGAGAAGAGGGAGGGAAGGAGGAGAGAGGAATGAGGGAAGAGAGAGAGAGAGGTGGGGAGGGAGGGAGGGAGGGAGAGAGAGAGAGGGAGGGAGGGATGGAGAGATAAATAGATAGAGATTGAGAGGGAGAGAGAGGGGGGAGGGGGGAGAGAGGAATGGAGAGAGAGAGAGAGAGAGAGAGATAGAGCGAGAGGTGGAGAAGAGAGCCAGAGAATAGACAAGAAAGTTGAAGGAAACAGGAAGGAAAAAAGAGAGAAAAATGTATGGAGAAATGAAATAGAAAGACGAGAAAATTAATCTTATACTAAAACAATCTTAAGGCTGTGACTTTATCTTCAAAGTTAGAATGAGAATAATCATCAAACGTTACAATTTTCCTTGTTTTGAAAAAAGTAATGAAACCTAAAATAACTATGATGAATATATACTAAATATAATATAATAAACATACTAAATATTATATAATAAACATACTAAATGTTATATAATAAACAAATAATAAATGTAATATGATATAAATCAATAAATAACATAACAATATAGATTAATCAATATACGATAAATGAAAAATGAAATAATAAGAAAGAAAGATGTAATGTATATATACACCTTGTTTTTCAAAAAGAAAATAGCGTTTTTTTACTCAAATTTCCGTCCAGCTGACCCTCCTTGACCCCTTGACATACCGCATATTTCTTCACGGAGAAAAAAAGAAAATACAAATCCGAAATCCTACATCTGGTGACCATAACATATCAAAAGATATGAGATCTTGGTTTAGAACAAAAATTCTAATATCAGCAGAATCGCCAGACAAAACTTTATTCGAAAGCAGACTGAAATGTATATATTTTTTTCGCATTTTATCACGATTTGGTATGTTTAGGTGCTAAAATGTGGAATTGTAGATGCATATATATATATATATACTATTATAGCATCGGCGTACCAGTCTAAAACTTGAATTATCGTACGCTGGCAACCCAATTGTAAATAATGTCGATCGTCCATTATTTATCAAATGATTAAAAAATCCTTTTTAACTATTACTCGTTTGGAAAACAAGGCACCCATTTTCTCGGATCGTACCGAGGCGCAACATACTTGAACTATTCCGTGAAACGTTTTTAAAATGTATTATTCGAATGACACATATATGCGGACAGCAATGACCAATTGCTGTCCGCAGTTATATGTTTTACATTGTTTTCATAATCTAGACCAGACTGCACTCTATATCTAAACAGAACGGAAATATCACTGCATTTTAACCCAAACACAAATCCGATGAAAAGGACATGAAAACCCATCAAAAAGTATCCCATTTCATATCGACGGCGACAGGTAGGAGAAAAATGTTAATATGAGACGCAATTTTGTTTTTATGGAGACAAGGACTGTTAATATGGTTTTAAAGATGCTCGATAGATAGTATTATGTGACAAGCCTTCATGCCAAGTATACAGAAATTTGATGATTTAAGGGAATGTGAAAATAATATCTACAGTAGGCATTGTATACTGTCCTTTTTTTCCCTTCCCCTTCTATGTCTATCTACTGTTTATCTCTCTTATTTTATCTATATATCCTATCCATCTATCTATCTTTCTCTTTCTATTCATCTTTCCCCCTTCTTCTTCTTCTTCTTTCTCTCTCTCTCTCTCTCGCTTTTCCCTTGTGGACCAAGAAGCAAAAATGGCCCGCCCTCACAGGGAACCGGGCGAGCCGCCCTCACGCGCCCTCTGCGGCCCCAACTAGGAAGGGCGGCCAGGTAGGCGCACCTGTCGCCCTCGCGCCC